TCTGTCCGCCCATCGCCAATCGGTCCCCCGGCCCATTTGGCGGTTCTTGCATTGGCTCTTCTGGGATGCACTCGCCCGACTGTCGTTGCTCACGCCTTCATTCTACACCCGCACGTGCCGATGGAAAAAATCCGGTGTCGGACACCGCTCCACGGGGGTTCCTGCAGTGCCAGGAGGGAGCGGTGGAGAGGGCCCCCACCCCGCGCTCTCTTGCGATTTGAGATGATTTGGGGTGGTCGTGTCGTCACCTTTGGTTTAGGCCCGAATGGGGATTAATGCATTTTTAGTTAGGTCCGGTGTCGCGGCGGGGAGGGCGAGAAAGGGGGGGCGTGGGTGATGGGGTGGTTTTTTGATTTTCTTGCCTTGCTTGTTTCTCTACCTATTTCGCAATTAAGAGGGGGGGGGGAGGGGGGAGTGGTGGGCGGGCGACCCAGGAGTTTGGATTCATGATCTGCGACTTGGGGGGGGGGGCAGGCGGATTCCTGTAGGGTGTGCACGTGCGTACGTGCGTGCTCTGTCGTTCATGTACGGTTGGCATGTCTTTCATGCTCCTCGCGTTCATTTCTTGTTCATGTTTCTGCTCTTGCGCTGCTTTGATGGAATGCTGCTAATGCGACGGGATGCTGGGATTGTTAGTTAGCGGGAGGTTGTGTAACGAGATGGAGCTGGGAGGGAGGGGAGGCGTGTATAGGAAGGATGGTGGGCGTCTGTTGTCACGGACGGACATGGGCAAGCAGGGGGCCGCGTCAATAGCGGTGGCTGGTGGCCGGCGGGGTGGCTGAGGAGGAAGGAGGCTACGTAAATCTCGTGGCGTCTGATTTGACGACGGTTTCCAAATTCCTGCCTCCACAACACAACCTTGGGCAACGCTTGTACCATCCGGCACCTACCGCCGGGGGGTTGATGGTCTGGCAGGCTGTCTCAAGTCATTCAGTTAACCCTTTCAAGCGCCTTCTTCTATCAATGACAATGACTGGGAGTCGTTCGGCCAAAAAGCTAGATGAGCGGTCCGGTGTCCTCATAAGGTACCTTTCACAGCCCCCCCCCCAAATGGGCTAGCTGAAGCTAGAACCATAGCTGGACATCGAAAGCCCTAGATACACAGACTTCAGATCGCTCTCCGGCGGACCGCCTCGACGGAGCTCACGGTGTTCCAATTATGCGTCCGCCTCCCCTTCCTGTCAGAAAACTTTACGCAAGCCAACAACCCTTCCACCCAAGGTACTGGGACCCGGGAGTGGTAGTATCAGAGTTTGGACACTGCCCCCCCCCCCGGCGGGGCTCTACGCCCCCTCCATGCAAAGTACGCAGAGGTGTTTTGGCTCGGGACACGCGAGGGCTTGACGAATGAAGTTCCACCAACCGTCTGTCAACAAAAAGAATTAGGGGTCTGGGTTCGAGGTTGTTTCGACGTCCGGGCTCCGGTGAGGTCTCGCGCCATGTGGCGTTGTTTTGATGGCGACATTGCGGTCTAGACACTGCGTTGGCCGTGACAACCTCGACAACACGGCGAATGTTTACGGCTTTCGGCGTTGCCGTCAGACTTGACGTCCGGATTTCCTGCTGCGGTCGATCATCCCGGCAATCTTCGTAGCTTCGAGGCCGCCGGAAAGCATGTGGCAGGATTGGGCCTCATCGGCACCAATTAGTCCTCGAGAGCCAAGTCCATCTGCCGCATGTGAGATTCCAGTCGCTCTAATCCCGCGACAATATCCTTCACAAAGTGCCGTTGCAGGTCCTCATTATCAAGGTCCGTTTCGCCGAGTCCAAAGTCGCAACCGAGACATTTCTTGACAATTCTGGGGAAATTTGAGCCCATCTGGTTGACCAAAAGATGGGCCAATTTCTCTGCGGCTCGATAGTCGGCGATTGCCTCGTTAGGCGGCATTTCCGAACCAGTCACGCTTTTCCTCAAGGTGCCCCATGGTCGGCCGTAAGCAATCTCCAGCAGCAGGATGCCGAAACTGAACAAAAGCTTGTTCCGGGCTGTTTCGGCGACATGTCGTATGCCACCCGGCTCGCCTTCAGCATTTAACGTTGCCGGGCCAGCCCTCGGATGTTCTGCAGATCTTGAACCCCTAAATTCTGCTGCAAAGTACGGACCTTTCAGCTTGACCGCATCCGAAGGTACTGGTGCTGAGTTAAAGTATCGCACATTCTGTCCCAGATCCGAGTCGACGAGCCAGGGCGTCGAGTAGAACTGCATGATACCTTCAGCAATCCGACTGGCCATTTCAACCGAGGCCGGACGAGAGAGGGATCGCACGACAGGTTTCTCAGCAATCCACTGGATGAGATCCGAGATGGACTGGGATGTGTTCTGCGTCTGTATTGCTGCTTCGGGAATATGGAACCATTGGGCGCGAGGGAGCTCCCATGTTGCCACTAGCGAACGCTGTATGCAGTCCGACGTGAGAATGCGCAACTCCCGGCAAAAGTCCATGACTGCTGGTGGGTTTGGAGTCGGTGAAGGCACGGCAGCTGTGCTCATTGGTTCAACCACTGCGCTGACGGCCACAGACTGTGGAAGGTCAGACGAACGGGCCACCGCGGCCTCGACAGGTCCCGGCAGCCGCTTGTCCGAAGTTGGGATGCCCCGAAACAGCCTCCCGAGCCCTGCTTTCGGCGTCGTCGACTTGACTGTTCGGAATTCACCAACATTGGTCTCAAGAGCAATTGCCAGCTGCTGAAACTCTGCGACTCGCTGGACATCTCCTTGCTGCCGCAAACTCTGGTTCTCGTCATCCGAGTCGCAAACTTGTTCAATCTCAAGTCGTAATTCCGCTTCGGTGGGTGAAAAGAATTGACCAGGAACTGTGGCAAGTTCGCACGTCACATAGTGAGAAGCATGAGCTTTGCCCTTCCCTTCGCCAGTAGCCGTATCATGGCCGACGATGTTCAGCGCAAATGAATGAGAAGGGTGTGATGAGCACATCCAGCGCTCTTGCAGAGTCGAATGTATGGCTTTTGAAGCACCTCGAATCCGGCGATACTTCTGCAGGGTGTCCCTGCCGCTGAACGATTGGTGCGATGCATCGTGCTTCCCCCCTCGAGAATCCAGGGATAGCTGCCGAAGCCCAGCAATGATATGACTCGCAATGGATTCGAAATCTCCATTCAGCGCTCTCAACCTTTTGATGGCTTTTTCGATCTGCGGCTTGCTGAGACCGAGCTTGATTCGGGATCTGACATGTTTGAACCACTCCGGCGTACTCAGCTTCTGCTTGCGCGTAAGTTCATATCTACAAGATTGGGCATGCGAACCTCACCTGACTGACGGTGCCCACTTCGCACCGGATTGTTTCGAATTGCCCGCACAGCTCTTGCAACACATTATCGACTTGGTCCGAAAGCTGCCGGCAGGATACAAATAATTCAGCCAGAGCATCGATGCGATGCCTGTATATTGGTGACATGCTGAGGCGCGCATGTGCGGCTGCCTGCTCTGGGGAAGGTCGCTTTTAGACCTCCTGGACCGAGTCGCGATCTTGCGTCACCGCCGTGAGCAGATTGATGGCATTGTTGCGGTATATGATGCGCTGAGTACTGAGCTTTGCGTCCAGAAGGTCGACTTCTTTCGCATAATGCCGGAATGTCGAGATCGTTTCGAATAATCGCCCTGACCTGTCGTACGCCTCGAGGGCGATAGGCACTGAACCGAGAACGGCGCCCACGATGAGTTCCACGCCGCTCATTGTGAATCAATACCCATGTTTTCCTTCGTTCGCGTCTTGAATCGTCAGTGATTTGAGCGTGAATTGCTTGCCAACGCAGCACGTGTGAAAGGGTGGTTCAGCAATGCTTGAAAAGAGGGGCTCACAGCCTTACCAATGCACGACGACAGATCAGCTGAACATGCTCGTTTGGGGACGGATAGGTCGTAATCTCGCCTGTGCCTCCCATTCGACACTTCATGAACCACTGGCTGATCTTGACTTCGTAGATAGAGGCGCTCACCTGATGTTCCTGACGGCTACCCCCGCACCTCCACTTTTGGCATCCTACAAACTACCATTTTTACAGATGTTACGAGGTAGATTGCAGCTGAGGCGCCTAGAATTCGATATTTGTCTTTTTTTCTTGACTGCGCTTTCATGGCTCGACCTTCGTTCCTAAGCCGGCATGATGTCGAAACCTGGGCGTCTACCCCTAAGGCTCCTGAGCACGGATCTGGCTTCATAGCCCAACTTTTCATAGCCGTCCGGTCCTCCTTGGCATCTCTCGTCAAGATTCATTCAAAGACCAACCATGACGTGGAAAGGAAATGTCGCAACGAATACGAACGTTTCTTTCTTTGGGGAGACGGGCTATCAGCTCATGACGGGCTTCTCGATGAGGTCCTGGGACCTTCACGAGAGCTTCGAATCCATTTGGTGACGTTACTTTGGCGACTCGGAACAACCGTCTCGCAAGCACTTTCTTGTGAGCTATCTTATACGATAGAATCCAACGCGGCCAGCCAACTTCCAGAATTACTGGAAAAAGCCGAGACCATGATGCAGTACACGACGTCTGAAGAAACAGCCAATCCCAATCCCAACTCTTCGTCAGACAGTTTAGCATTCAGCGTTACGGAGCTCGTCGAGGACATTGCTGTTTACATTAACTGTCTGATGGATCTATCTCATACCCTGGAAACACCAGCGTTGGAGACTGTGCTGGCGGATGACAAAATTGAGCAGACCCCTGTGAAGACTGAAGATCATTTTGTTGTTTCTTCCGAAGAGGCCATGGTCTATTGTCACAAAATTCGTGACCGGTTTGGACTTCTACCAAGATTTCTGGTAGAACGACTTGCTGAGGCCAACACTATCCGTGCTGGGATGTTGCGCCAGACGAAGGCCACTAGCATGAAGCTACAGACCCAAACACAAGATGATGTGACGGAGACCTTGTTCTCTAGCCGACCCCGAGACCACCAATCCGACAAACTCGACTGCGCCTTACTCATCTATTTTTTCAAATAATCGGAAGCCAGCACCGATATCTGGGTTACGACATCCTGATCGCGGTGCTCCATACGACGTATCGCTGGCCACCCTTGCTTCTGGGAGAAGCATGTCATCAGCAGCGGTATTCGACCGCCCTCAAATCCCTCCAATGCCAGAGAACTATGGTCATGGGTTTGTTTGCCCCATCTGTTCTAGACTTGTAACAGAGGTGTATACGAAAAGAGAATGGAAGTACGTCGCCTAAAGCCTCTCCCCCTTGAACTCCAAATGGAACCAGGACAAACTGACTCAAACGGCGTAGAGCACACGTGTTCACAGACTTGACACCCTATATATGCACAGACATGAGTTGCCGTGACACCACATTGTTCAATCGAACAGACCGATGGGTAAGCCACGAGGCGACACATCGTTCACCGTGGAAGAAGCTGGATATTTGCGCGTTTTGCGCAGCAACCTTCATGCAGGAACCTCGTATATTCTACGATCATGTCTCAAAGCACCTTCAGGAGGTGTCACTTGCTATCCTTCCTCGAGCGGTCGATGACCCAGGGGAAGAGGAGGCAAGTGATAGCGATGACGACCAGCAACAACCCGAGCCAACCAGTGTCGGCGCTGCCTCTATGCTGGAAGGCTTCTGGGATCCTGCTCTTGATGATTCCTTCTACTTCCCCATCGACGGAGAATTCCTCTCAACTCAAGAATGTATCTCAGTTTGGAACACGATTCGAGTCTTGTGCGAGGCTGTGGTCCTTGGACGGCACATTGCGCATCAATACATGGTTCATAGCCACTCCAGGGAATCTTCTCTCATGCCTGGTATTGGCAATGTCCCGAAATCCATGGGAGTTGTGCTTGAGTCGACGCGGGCCCGAACCAATGCTTTGGATTCGAGTTTCTATCGACAGTCTCTTGCATTACAGGTCTCTGGCCCTTTGGATGCATGCATCAGATACTTGAGTAAACTATCTGAAACTGCCAGTATCGACCTCTTGCAGATCTTAGTGCAGGGATTCGATGGCGTGGAACGTCAGATATATCAGGGTCTTGCCCCTTATGTTCGGTACGTCAATATGTCTTTTGTCAGCTCGTCGGCGAACAGCCTTACAGAACATCGGCTAACTCAGGCTTTTACGTGTATGGCAGAGCCAGAACCGATTACGAGAGTATTCGGTTGGAGAATATTGGTCATGAGCTCCGTACTTTCGTTGGGAAGCATTTCCAAGGAATTCTTCCAGCATCAGTTCTGATGCCCCTTGACCAGACCTCCATGTCCATGTACACATGCACGTGGCCTACCGTCACAAAGTCACAACTACTCGAGGTCACAGAGGAAGCACCATCAGGCATACTCGAACCTTCCAGCGATGATCATAGGCAGCAATTCATCGATCAGAAGCTCATCTCCGCAACCAAGGAGGACCTTCATGACCTCGCGCGCTACTTTCTGCAGGACGAGACACCTCGAGCGAATCCAAACGCTGCGGACATCCATGGCATGACAGCCTTGCATTATGCGGCTCAGTCAGAGGGGCATACTTTAGGCTTCATCAAGCTTCTCTTGGCACATGGTTCGGAAATTGATGCTCGATGTCATCTCAACTACCCTTTCTTCCGTCGTGATGGCGACGAGCAGCCTGTTCCATGCGCGGTCTCAGGCCATACCCCTCTGTTCCTGGCGCTCCACTATCGGCGGACCGCCGCAATGGAAGAACTCCTGCTTCATGGTGCGAGTATGCAGGCGGCACTCGTCGAGGCCGTGACGGCAAAGGATGCCTCAACGGTCGGCTTGCTGTTCCGTCTACGAGGAGTGAATAAATGGACGCTTGGGGCTTCATTCACGCTCACCGAACAGTACCGTTACAAGGGAAAGCGCATATCCCTCACTCCCCTCGAATTAAGTGCCGCCCTTGGTGATGGAGTTACCGCGGGAGTCATTCAAAAAGCCTTGCTGGCATCGCATGGCCACGACCGGGGAAATGATCTGGTTGCCTCCTCTTTTGGAACCGCGCTGAACCTAGCTGATATCGACATGGCGTCTATTCTTTCCGGGTTCTTCGATGCATGGAAGCCTTGGGCGACGCGGAGCGACAAGCAGGGAAATAACCCACTGGCACTTCTTCTCAAAATGATCCTCGCCTCAGACGAGGAAATCGTTGAGTCAAACCAGGCAAAACTCCAGGCCATTGCCAGCAATCTCGTGCGTAGTGTAGCAGCAGACGAGAGGGATTGGCTCGTATTTAAGAACAGCAGCGGCGAGTCAGTTGTTAGCATCTTTGTCAACAATGTAGCCGAACTGGGGTTTCTTGAATCACAACTTTCCGAGGCCTCGCTTGGCCGTCACCTACAAGCAACGAAACCGCGATTGCTAAAGATGAAAAGGGGGCACCATCGAGATGCAACACAGAAGGGCCATGTGAGGTTCACACTCGGAGGCGACGAAAGTGAGGATGCTGGTCAGAATGATGAGTGATGTATCGCAGGGACACTGTGCCTAACACTGGTTCTTCAATATAGACGGGGCAGGCTATAAGATGCTGGACAAGAACGTGTAAGATAGCCTTGCTGAAGGCAAGAGGCGGCGGTCAGTACAAGCTCATAAATAGTTAAGCGTAGGGAAACGTATCATGAGATCTTAATGATACACCTCTTTACTATTTTCCAGCTTATTATGTTTTCTTTGTCAGAACTACGAGTGCGAGCCTTTGCTTGTTTTCAGTTATAACACAAGGATCAAATAATCATGGTAAATTCCTGATTTCTACGTAGATCCAACCACACAATGAGTGCTTCATACCAATGCTGGTATCACGGGTAGTGGGATATTATATGCGGTAATGACTGACTTGATTCAACTATTTGGACGAAACTAATAGATAAAGAAAAAAAGTTGACGAGTTTAATGGGATAGCCTACTCGGCTCCGGGATTTCGAGACCGTCCCGGAACGCGGGCATAGCAGAAAGAAAATGACGACAGGGGTGAATGTTGGCATCATACATCTTGGTATGATCCACTCTGGTTATCCGGCACCACATCGTTGTGGGCAATCAGGCAATTCCCGAATACTCTTTCGCTCCAGAAAAGCCTGGAGAATACGTCCCTGGCTTGTGCTGGCCATCCAGATGTTTCGTCTTGCAGCACCGGGGATGCTGACGGAATGGCTGAGATCTGGCACTGCCTAGCGGCTCCTGAGGTGACTGTAAGAATATCTAGGTAGATTCTTCTTGCGGGCCACCCTCAACGTGAAGTTCGGTAGGGCCAACCGATTCGAGAGTGCCACCACCTTCGCAGCGGTTCATAGGATGATTGACAGGCCACGAACAGAGAGAGATCTCGCCTACTATGAACTTGATTCCGTTAAGGACGTGCTCCTTAAACGAATCGGCCATGAATGCAGCAACCTGTTTCGAACTTCCCTGGCAACCTTTCATCACAACACCGAAGCGGCGTGTTGTTGCCGGGTTGATGACAATTGCGCCGTGCCTGCCCTCGGGGATAGAGACCGTGCCATGTTGCCTTGAGTCGGTCGTCCAAGTTTTGGTGAAGGAAATGCCGAATTCTGCGCTCAAAGATGATGCTATGAAGTTCTTCTCTGCACCGAGGCCAGAAGTGATCGTGATAGTGTCGGAGACAGACTTGCCATTCTCAATCTCGATTTCGATTGGCCCCCGAAACACCTGGCTGAGCTGCATGTCCCAGCCGATGAACTCCTGTGTTGACGTGATGCGTACCCTCTGGTCGTTCTCGCAACCTCGTGCCATTAAATGATTTCCGGCAGGGGCTGGGCTGACTGCCAGATGTTCATTGCTATCCACCGAACGTCTGACCTCGGAGTCTCCGCCTTCGTTCCACTGTCAGCCTCGGCTACGCACAGAAGCGAGAAACACGAAACCACAACTTACCGGCGTAACGGGCAATAACGTCTCGAATAGCCCTATTCGCAGATGCTAGCGAAACACCTGGTTCCACACTTGGGGCTGCGGCAGCCAGTGCAACCGTAAGGCTCAGGAGACAAGCGACACGCATCTTGATGGAGTAGATAATTGGCGAGGTTTGTGGGAAGATACGACTGGAATGTGAATGATGAGACTGGTGTTAGATGAGCTCTCCAGTGTGCGGTATCACATCGCTACTTATACTTGGCCACAGAACATGCACAGGCACAGGACTTGAACTCGCCCCGGAAGCTGCCACGCACCGGCCGCCTCGCTTTGCCGATCACGAAAATGTAGACATCATGACTCAACTTCGAGCTTCACGATCCCGGCTTGAAGTTTAAATCTGCTGCTACTGGCCGGTGATAACACACAGAAACGGATTCACTATTCTGTCTTCGGGTTAAAGGGCTATGAGACTCCATTGAAGCGCGTCAACTGCTTTCAAAGCAAACTCAAATTAATGATGACGAAGTATTCTTGGGTGATTATTGCCAGGAATGATGCGTGTACGACTTTGGACAGTTCGAAGTCCCGAGGCTTGTCCCAGAAACGAGGATTCCTCTGGTATTTCCCCGGGCATTCTGAAGCCGTGCCCCCTGAAGCCTCGGTTCAATAAAATTCCAAGTGCCGTTATACCCGCTACTACGGCCTGACCCCATTGAGGCTAAGTTGCAGGTCTCACACAGTCGTATGCTCGATCACGCGTAGATATGGAATTGAACTGAATAGGTATTTTTTGAATCAGCGACGAAGCTTCAATTGAGCTGCGTCCATAGATGTATATGTAGGCTGCAGACTTATACACCGTGACAGGTCCGGCCCATTACACCCACTAACTCCTCTTCCGCTTAATGAAAGGGAACGTAATGCGATCGCCGAGGGCTTGGCTATGACTGGGCAGAAGGGCTCGAAGGCCCCCGAGGTCACAGTAGGGTGCAGAGACTTAGGAGGGACAAGTCAAAGTCTCTGAATATCTGAATAGACTGATACGCGTGTACGAGCGTTCGGCGAGCAGACAACGACGAGGCCCCGGTTTAGGCCCTCAGCAATACCTTGAGGGTTTCCGAAACCGAGATAAAAGACAAGAACTATACGTACGTATTCAGCGTACGATATAAGGTTTCGCCTTGCATGAAATCATCCGTCAAAGCCGATTAACCTTGTAGAAAGGCCTATATAAGCTTTGGGTAGATCGAAGATATTGCCAGGGTGAATGATGGGTTGAGCTAGGGGTCCGAGACCGGTGAAGTTTAGAGGCTTAAAGAGGTTTAGGTAGGTTGGGGAAACAGGGTAGCTCAGATCAGTACCGGAGCCCAACACGAAACACCCTTGCTTCGTTCACTACATGCCGGCTGCGTGCCAAGAAAATGAAGACATATCCAGTGTCTACCTCCAAAGAAGGGACTCCTCCTGAACAGGTACTGCGCTGTGTTAAGTCTATTTATAGCAAACTTCATATCAATGGTTTGTCCTTACTGGGCAGACCATGGGCTGAGATTCACAGCTTCTCGCCCAATGTCTACTGCTGATTCACAAGAGCAGCCTGTCAAAGCAGTGTCCGAAAATTTCAAAGATGCATATGAAATCAGTTAGAAGCATTCGTCATGGCCGGCGGCGAGTTCTGAAAAAACCAGGGTTAGAGTCACACTAAGGAACTTCCTAGGGGAAGTCGGTAATATCCGAGGCACGTGAAATCACGAGCGTTGATAATCAACCTAGTAACTCCGCAACTTGCGCTGAAGAGGGTTTGAAAGGTCACTGAGTCGAGAACAATTACTCCAAAATTCCATTTTTCAGCTTTGCTAGATCGTCTTGAACGGGAGCGATCCTGACCGAAAGTCTAAAACAGCAGTAAACTTTATTATAGCAGTTCTTCGGGTTCAGAAGAATTCATGAACAACTCCGTCGGTATCTTCCGAGGACGTGTCAGATAGCGACCAAATTTGTGGCCCCTTGCTAGTGTGGACTGAGATGATTGAGGAGTTGGCTTAACGTAGCACAAACTCGGTGGAACTCGGCTTAGGCAATGCTTCATTGCGGGAACCACCATATCGCCAACTCAGATGCCGAATTCGGCACTTGGAAACGCATGACGATAGCCTCCGAACTCATAATCATTGGGAGGCTCGGACGTCCTGAAAGCTATAAAAGGAGTCAATTTGGCTGCGACTTGAATGGTTTTCTTGTCACACCCATTCATCATCTCTCCACCTATCGAGCCACAACTTTCTCAATATCTTTGAACCCTTCCAACATGAAATATTCAGTTGGAGCAATGCTCGCTTGTTACGCCACGAGGTCCGCCGTTTCTTGACATAAATCCTGCCACAGCTAACTCCTGAAGCAGCGTCCTTGCCAACTCGCATCATTGGGGTGTGTGTGCCAGAGACATCAAGGTCGACACCTCTGGTCGACTGGACAAACCCTCCCAAACTCCGGTCACAACGGGCGAACAACTCGACAAGGCCACAAAAGCGGCTTGCATTCAATACCAAGCTCAGAATGACGGGTATACTTGCAAAGACTGCGGATACGTAGGCTTGTCTAGAAGCGCATCTGTGGATTCTGTGATACTGATCATAAGCTTAGGATGAGGCACAAGGTTCCTGCCACTCACCCTCAGGGCATCTTGGGGGCAAAGAGGTAAGAAAACGTTTCCAGGACGAAACAGCAGCAGACTAATATTTGGCTCTCTCAGTGGCATCATTGGTGTATGGTTCACAAGGACGCGGACCCAGCTGGTACTGTTGAAGGTACGATGGTGAATTAGAATGCTTGGTAGCCTTCTGGTGTTGTTGAGGGTTGGATTGGAGGCAAGGACTTACTCCACTCACTGCGACTTCGGGGTTTTCTGATCACATTTTGCCCATGTATGTGATTAGCGATGTTTTCTTATTGAATCAGACCAAGTTTTCCCTCGACTCCATGAACCAACTTACCGCTATTGTGATTGTGTTTGTGATACGCATCACACGAGCTTTGGGCAAGCTTTTGTTTCCGGCATATTCATGCCATGCATACAACACCGCCTGCATTGTAATGAGTCTGGCACTGAGCTCTCCAACGGTTGGCGTCAAGGGTGCCACTTGCTCAAGCTCTTGAAAGTTGCCTCTGATCTCTCGTTGGCTGCGTTCACCGGACTTGGTCAGATTACCTGTTGTACAAGCGCATTAAGTTGTGTGCCATAAGGTCTGCTATCTTGAGCTTTAGACGGAGATCTGGCAAAATATCGAGTAGATCTTGTCGAATTAGATAACCCTACGTCGCAGCTCGTCATATGCAAAGTTGCTCCAAAGATGGTCGTGGTAGGAGGGTTGTGGGTTGGGACGCACTTGATGCCGGGAACCTATGATAACTACGACATGTCGAAGCCAGAATCCAAACTTTTGAATGTCTCTACTGTTTCTCAAGCAGCGCAGATAATGACTTCGGCGTCGGACTTTCGGATGACTTTTCCTCTTTTCTCGTTTGTGCTTGATCTCATGACGGGGCCAGTATTGAGCGTTGTTTTGCTTCCTACCGTTCATTGTTCATCGAGGAGATCTCGCTTGTCAGCCGCGTGCAGTCAGGAGGGCAGCCACCATGAGCACATCCATGGCAGTGGCAGGATCGTGTGGCCAGGGCAGACAGGGAACGGCGGTAGACACATCACAGACCTCACATTGACGTTTCAGTGTTCCATTTGTTTGCCTGACCCTTTTACAAACCAGCCTTGCGGCACCGGGGGCCAGAGGCACGCCATGCGAATGCATCATCGAGACAAGGGCCGTCGCGCAAGAAGGAGTGCCGTAACAAGAAAGCCGCAAGGGTTGTTTTTCGCGCGTAAAAGACGTCCCGCCCCGTGGGTATGGGTTTTGTGATTCCATTTCCACTTTTGACGCCGGGTAATAAGTTTGTCCAGTCCATGCCAGCCAGCCCCATTCCCCTTTCACTCCTCCTCCATCCCCTTACAGCATGATGCTCTTCTTCCACAGGACCTCCCCCAGTCGGCGGGCCCCCATCCTCCCCGAGACACGAAAAAAAGTACCGTCATGATTTCGCGCAGACGCGGCAGGAACCCTCCCAATACCAGTGTCGAGAAGGTCGAGCAGCGCCGGAGAAGGTGGGAGTAGATGCGCCGCGGAGGATTCCGTGTCCTTTGCCGCCAAGACGCGCCATCGCCACCCGGAGGAAGGCGAGACCGTTTAACGGTAGGACTTCTGGAAGCGAGAGCGGGCACCCTTACCACCGAACTTCTTGGGCTCACACCGGCGGTTGTCGGCGACGAGGAGGGTACGGTCGTGGGCGACGAGGGCCTGCTTGAGCATGTTCTTGGAGTGCTCGTCGACGAACTTCTGGTACCAGGCGATGAGGGACTTGGCGATAGCCTGACGGATGGCGTAGATCTGGGAAGTGTGGCCACCGCCGGAGACGCGAACGCGGATGTCGACGTCGGCGAACTTGTCAAGGCCGAGGACGAGGAGGGGCTCGTAGACCTGGGGCGAGGGTTAGCAAGACGTGTTCGGTGGAAGTCTGTATTCATGTCATGTTGTTTTTTTGATCTTGTCGATGTTTGTGTTCTGTGCTTGAGGTTTCGACTCGGTCGGGGAATTCGGAATTGACCATGTTGGTCATGTGCTGAGGGAAGAAGCGTACCTTGAAGCGCAGGATCTCGGGCTGGACAAGGGACAGAGGCTTGCCGTTGACCTTGACAAGACCCTTACCGGCCTGGTGAGAGAGAGAAAAATGTCAGCACTTCCTGCCAGACTACCATGTGTTTTCGTTCGTCAGGCGCCTCCCAATCCATCACCAAGGTCGCCCTTTTTCCTTCGTTTTCTTTTTCTTTGCTCCTCTCCTCTTGCTCGAACGTGGGGGATGCCCCCGGGGGAAAAGTCTCGTCGCACCTTGCACTGGGCGACAGCCGTGGCCGTCTTCTTCTTGCCGAAGCACTGGACGCTCTGCGAGGACGACATGGTTGCTGCGATGTGGGCGAGTGCGAGGTTAGTTGTCGCAGCGGGTGGGAAGGCGGGCGGTCGATATGGCGTTCACGGGTCTGAGGCTCGTCGCTTGCTGGTCGAAAGTTTTCGAATTTGGTGAGGGTTGTGCCCCAATTTGCCGCTAAGCCTGAAGTGTGGAGGTGCAGGGCACGTGATGGGAGCCGGGGGGCAGCTCTGATTAGGTCAGCATTCGAGGTCTCAGCTCGCGACCGCTGGTGGGTCCTCCAAGGGCTGGCCTGTGCTTTACTTGGATGACAGCATCTGTCTCTCAAAGATAAGCCTTTCCACAGCAGGCTTATCGATGGGAGCGAGTCGCGGTGGACTGTATGTACATGGTGCTACTGAACCCCTCAACCGCCCTGCCTAGGCACCCTGCAGCCTTGGTCTTGCGAAGGTAGGCAGACCAACAACTCATTCCCTCACATCCTCGACACTCGCTTCGAACAGCCTCACAAGAGGGGTCTACGAACAACGTCATGTCTCGCAAAGGCATCGGCATCGGCGCCTTCGACCGCCACCGCCTCACCTCGGCCCAGTACGCCTCCCACGGCACGACGCTGCGCACGACCAACGCCGCAGCCCTCGAGACCCAGCTCGCCGTCTTCCGCTCGCTGCTGCAGCAGTTTGCGCAGACGCACGCCAAGGATATCCGCTCCGACCCGTCCTTCCGCGCGCAGTTTGCCCGCATGTGCACCGCCATTGGCGTCGACCCGCTCGCGTCGTCGGCGCACTCGTCGTCCTCGGCTGGCGACGGCGCCAGCAGCAGCATCTGGGCGCAGCTGCTGGGCCGCCCGCTCAACGACTTTTACTTTGAGCTCGCCGTCCGCGTCGTCGAGACGTGCACGGCCACGCGCGGCGAGAACGGCGGCCTCATCGGCGTGCGCGAGGTGCGGGAGCGCATCGCCAAGGGCCGCCCCGAGGGCGCGCCCGAGGTGACGGACGACGACGTGCTCCGGGCCGTCGGCACGCTGAAGCCGCTCGGCGGTGCCTTCGCCGTGCTCAGGGTCGGCAGCAAGAGCTATATACGGAGCGTGCCGAAGGAGCTCAACACGGACCAGAGTGCCGTGCTCGAGGCGGTGCAGGTACTCGGCTACGTGAGCGTCGGCATGTTGATGGCGAACCTGGGGTGGCCGAGGGCGAGGGCCGTGACGGCGGTGGAGGATCTGCTCGGTGAGGGCATGCTGTGGGTGGACAAGCAGAGCCCCGTCGAGTGGGAGTATTGGAGTCCGGGTTTCATGCTGGACGAGGGGTTTCATGGCGATTGAGCGAGGGGGCCAGGAGATGAGCTATGATTTGACGACTCGACGATTTGACGATACGCCGTGTGGCTGGGCATCCCTCCCAGTCGCCGAGAGCGACGTGAGGTTGGAGACGAGAGAGTGCTGACACCTCTCCCGCCAGAGCGACGACGTTCATGGTGCAATACGCATCACGAACCAACCGTAGAGATGCGACAAAGACTCTCCCGTAGATAGCCGCGCCCGATATAGATCGGATCGCACGATACCCACGAACACATAGACGAAAAACGACACAGACCCCACACACACACACACACACACACACGGGGGCACAGATTGTCGAACCAAACACAGCATTGTACTATCACCCATCATCGACAGAGCATGACAAGAGCTAGCCAGAAACATCCAACAAATATACAAGAGCGTCCCGTCAGCGGACAGTTTTCAGGCCCGCTCCCATGTCTTCATCCTCCGCCATATGTCTTTCGCCATCATCCTCCCCTTGTTATCTCCCTCCCCTCCTCGCTTTTGCCACCCTGGCTGTCGTGTATTACGCCTTCCACCGGGCTGCTCTCTCCTCCTCCTCTCCTCGTCCTCGTCGGCCACCGCAGTCAGGATCCCCTGCTTCGGGGGAGGACCCCAGCAACCGGTGGTCCGAAGAGACCGCTTAGGCTTAGTAAGGGGGGTTCTGGCCGCCCATGGTCGGGGGGTAGTCCTCGGGCCTGCCGCCACCGAGGCCGCCCTGGTTGCGGCCGTCGCCGAAGTGCTTCTTGCGCAGGGCGGCGAGGCGCTTCTTCTTGGTGACCGTGTTGATGTAGGTACCGATGACAAAGGCGACGAGGTTGAAGAAGGGAACCCAGAGCTGGTCGGGGAGGAACTTTTGGGCAAAGGCGAGGCAGACGGGCGAGGTGACCCAGCTGACCTTCATGACCTTCCAAAAGCCGACCTTGACGGTGGCGCGCACCTGGTGGAAGGTGCGAGCGCCTGCGATGAGGGCCATGGCCGTGAGGTAGACGGAGTTTTGGATGGGCGCGATCTGGTCGGGACCTGTCAGCATGCTGCACAAACGAGAAAAAAAAACATAAAAGAAAACTGCACATCAAGGCAGCATGCAGCGTGGGCAGAGGGGGTGACAGGGAGGGCAGGAAGACGCACAATGAGGTTGCTGACGATAATCTGCAGAATCTTGGCGCGCAGGCTGGTGCGGCCGGCAAAGGTCTTCTGCAGCAGCCAGATGAGGAAGTGACCGAGGGGCGCGCTGACGAGGGCACCGTAGGCGGCCATCTTGGGGACGCGCGAGGTGAAGTAGTTGCCGTGCTTGTTGCGGTCCTTGGCGAGGAAGGAGGCGATGAGCTCCTGGGCGCCGGCGAGGGTGCCGGCCGTCAGCATCTTGGTGCGCAGGGGGTTCTCCTCGAGCTGCTTGATGTAGGCCTTTGGTCGTCGGTCAGCATATGGGAGTGTCTCGTGGCAGGGAAGGAGAGGAGGGGGGGAGGTGACGTGCCGCCAGGTAGCCCTTGGTGCCGGCGTTCTGTTTGCCGCCGGTGATGGCGGTGCCGACGGCGGACATGACGGGGTGCTTGCCGCTGGTGCCGGGGATGGGCTGGCCGTCGATAATGCCCTTGGTGGCCTCCTCGACCTTTTCGACGCCGCGGCGTATCGTCTCGCTCTCAAACTTGACGGACATGGTGGGCGGGGGTGTGTGATTGAGCTATCGGCAGGAGGGGCGTCGGGGGGGTGTCGATCGCGAATACAAAGGGTAGACAGATCTAAGTGTAGGTGTCAGCTCATGGCCCGCACGGAATGTGCAGTGACGTAGGACGTCGTGCCGAATCGACAATGGATTGTTGCGAGATGGAGAAGAGAAGTGGCAGCTGTCTTCTGGGTCTGCTGGAGGCGGGCTGGTGATGGGGGGCGGGTTCTCGTGATGTCGTTCGCCGTGGCGTCCAAAGTGTCGTGGCCGAGTCGAAGTGGATTTGTTTACCGCGTCGCTCAGCCGACCGCCAGTCCACCAACACAGGCGCGCCGCTTCCGCAGTTGTCGATACCAAAACAGACTCAGACCGCCAGTCTCGACCCTCTCGCTCGGAAAAGAAAGGGCGTCACGTACTCTTCGTTCTCGTCGATGCAATTGCCCGCTGCGTCGGAAAAGGGTTGGGCGCAAAAGTGGGAGGATGGAGGAGGTGAGGTTGGGTGGGAAGGGGTCCTTGCTCTCTGCTTTGCCTTGCCTGTCTGCTTGCTGTCTCTCTGCCTCTCTTCTCTTCAGCGGCGGGTTCGCGAATGGGGGAATCCCAGCTCGGTCTGCTTGGCCGGGGGGGGGGCTGGCTGTGGTCTAGCTAGCTCGTAGCTTGCTAGGTGGGTGGGCTTAGGGGGGGCTAGGCCTACGCTGGACTAGCAGCCTGGCTTGCCTGGTTGCCAACCCGGGGGATTGAGGTGCAACATCAGAATTGGACCTTTCGGGGAGCCACATGATTGGTTGCTTGGCCCGTTGTCCCTCGGTTTGTTTTGAGGGGATCGGGCCAAGACACGCTGGCAACGCCTCCACCAGGGGCACTGCTCACCCCTCAACGTGAGAGATCGGAGCCGCGGTCTAATCTTCTCAGCCGTCTGTCTGTCTGACCTTTCCAACTGTCAAACCGGGGTGGAGAGGCGAGGTCAGATCGCCCAACGCTCAACATCATGCGGCCCAGGTTGTCTTCCCCATGGCTAATGACGAATTCATGCTTTTCCTTGTCATGCCCCTCCGCTCCAAGTAAGACCGTGACGTGCCTGCAATGACCCCTCGCGTTCAGTCACGAGTACAATGCTACAATGTAGTTCATATTCATGTACTTTCTGTCACTTCATGTGCAGGATCTTGACATCCTCTGATCTTCCCCCAGGGTATCTCATCAACAGCGCGGCAAACCTCACGACCATCCATCCAACTACGAACCAGACCTGTCATCCGGGTCGTGGACGGCTACCATGGCCTCGCTTCCTGTCCAGTCTCCTCTGCCGATGACACCTGCCGGGACACAACCGAACTAGTTCCTCCCAATTGATGCAATGATGACACGCCTTCGTCCATCTCGGACAACCCGGCTTAAACCTGGGTAACAACATCCGGTACGTGCAGCTCTAGGCTCTCCTCGAGCACCGCAATGCCGTCGTCGACCACAAGTGGGGCCGACTCAAACTCGCCTGTCTTCATCTCGTGCACTTCCATGTCCGTATCCGCCGCGTGCTTCAGGTCCGGTGAGCCTGGCGAGCGTGGTAGATGGCCCTTTCCGTTGGGCGAAAGGATGGCAAAGCTGTCTTCGCTACGTCCCTGCTGCCTCAGCTGCTGCCATTCCCGGAACTGCTGTTCTTGCCGTGCCATGAGATCGTCGAGGTTGGTCATCGAGTACCCATCCGAGCTCGGCGTCCCCATCACCGACGACCCCACGGGCGCATCATACTCGTCGTTCTCGAAAAACCGTGTCGCAGACGGCGTCAGGCCCAGTCTGGCGACTACCGATACATCGCACACTGGCCGCTGGCCGAAATTATGAAAGCCGAACCCCGTGGCTGCCGTGGCCGGAACATCACCCTTGACAATGCCGTCGAGACTCATGGAGATCCGGTCGGCGCCGCTCGGTCGACATTGTTGGCACACCTTGAACGTACACTCCATCTCAGGGTGGGGAATCCATGGCCGCTCGCGCTCCAACTCTTGCCACCGGACTTCGTCTAGTCCGGGCGCCGAAGCGGGAGGTGATGAGCGAAACTCAACGGCGTCAAAGTGGCTGTGGCGTATGGCCTGCAAGGCAGACAGTTGCTGCTCGGCCTCGTTCTGTTTCTTGGCCGCATCCTGCCGGAGGACAGTTTTGACATTTTCGCGCTGCTTCAGGATGATAGCGATCTGGTCGGGACGGTAGGTTTGTAGTTGCGCAGGCGTGATCTCGCTGAAGAAGCTGCCGATGGTGTCCATTCTTGTCTCGGGGCCGCGGGGTCGGGGTTTGACAAGGTCGATGAGCTTCCTTCCCAGCTCATCGAATACAGCTTGCTACAGAACGTCAGCCTCGTGCTGGCCCCTTAAATTGATGGTCAGAGATTATTACCTCACTCCCGACATGAATCATTTGGCGCAAGAGTTCCTCACGGTCCTGCGTGCAACGGTAAAGCCAGCCAAAAGGAGGGTATGTCCCACATGTATCGCAACGGTGGTTGACACCATAGACACGCGACATGGTCGGATGCGTGCATGATGCTTTGAGATGCCGGCGCGGCGGGAAGGCAGGTGGCAAAGGCTTAGGAAGAGACGTACCCTCAACATGTCCATCGACCTCTGATGACTCGAGAGAACAGGCATGAGCAGACATCGCCATGTTGGTAGGCGACAGATGAGACTGGCTGTCATGCAGTGCTCGCGGGTTGCTGAGATTGGGGTTAGCTGCATCACTGCCTCCACTGATATGCTGGCCGTCAGCAATCTCATCACGGCTCGCAAGAGTATGTTTCGCTGCGAGAGAGACGCACGTTTTGTTATCGGTATCGGTATTCAGTCTGCTACTGCCATCTCTGCTGTTGCTGATGCTGGTGGTCATGTCAGTGTCGCGCCCTTGCTCATTCTGCCCAAAATCATGCTGCCCGAACGGATATACAGCAGGATGCTTTTTGAACGCAGGTAGTCTGAAGGTAAAAAAAAGTTTGTTGGTATCGTCGTTGCCAAAACAGGGCGTAGTGCCCCCAGTCTTGGAGTGAGGCTGTTGAGACTGCATGTCGGTACTAAGAGCTCGACGCGGCCAATGCAAATTTGAGTGAGAGGTAGGCCATTTATATCGGGGGAGAGCATCCGGTTCGTTGTTCTGGATAAAGTTTTGGACTGGTCTGGAGGTGGAAGGCGCAACCTGGGGCTCAAGGACGCGAAGGCAGGAAGAAAAGTTGGGCACAATGACTGAGGAGGAAGGCACTGGAACGAAAATGCTACATGTCGAGTGAATGTGCACCGGCTCGACTGAGCACAGGAGCCAAAACATCGTTTGCCTCCAGACCATCAAACATGCACCGAGCAAGCGATGACACCATTTCCTTTGTTGGGTAGGATTAACATCGGCTGGGATCGCCATCTTCCTCACTCAAGCAACCATCATTGTAATCAAACGACTCAAAATATTGATTATCACACGGACATCAAGTCGGATTTGACGAGGTTCACGCTCTGACAACAACGCAGGAACACCGCCCCTACTAATACAACAAACCCTTGCACAATCCAACCCGCAGAGGTTTCCAGTCCAGTACCTCCAAAAGTTACTCCCGAGGCAATATTCGCTAGCAGAACATGCGCCTAGCTATGAAGAGCGCAAGGGAATTCGTGCCAGAACTACCACGATTGCCGACTGAGCAAAGCACAACATCCAAGGTGTTGACGTGGCTTCCTGGATCAGTACAACCAGGTGGCGTCCAGAATCAGGTGGGTGAATTGCACATCAAGTCTAAGTTTAAGGAACTAATGGGTGAAAAGAATATGCTGCAGTTGGTATGGACATAGTATACGACGCGACGAATTATGACAGCGTCTTTTTGCCAGAACCGATGATGGCGGAACCAAAAGACCCCTCGCAAATACCCGTCATGGATTTTCCCAGAGAATCTACTTCGAGCTTTCAAACACAGCCTTCATCATGGCATTGCCAACCACACCCGCCTCCTTGAAGCGCGGCTCGAAGAACGCCTGCGTCGTCTCGAACCGGTTCTTCCACGTCTCAAAGTTACCCAGCGACACGCTCTCCGCCCAGCCCCGCGCGGCGAACGTAAACTCAAGATCGTCCGATCGGTACCGGAGGTCGTCAATGGCGACGCGCAGTGCGTCCTCGAGCACGCCGGGGCTGCGGAACACGTGCTCCGTGACGCCGAGCCACAGCCGGAACAGTGGCGCCGAGCACACCATGTGGTTGTACGGCACGATGCCCAGCTGCGCCCAGCAGTCGACCATGGCCAGCAAGCTGAGGTGGTTGTTGGCGCGGGGCGCATCATCGACGCCTGCCTCGTCGGGGCGACCGAGGGAGAAGCCCTCGAGCACGCCCGGGTCGAGCAGCGGCTGGCCGCCCCAGAGCGGTGCGCCGTCGCTTCCAAAGACTCGCTCCTTGGCCGCGAAGACGCGGGCGCGCAGGGCCGCGGCGTCGCCCTCGAGCATGAGCTTGTAGAGGTCCGTCACAGAGCGGGCGTACTGGGAAATTTGCTTGCGCGCCTCGGGGTTGAGGATGGCGAGGCCGGCGTAGACGTGCCACTTTTGCGAGTAGATGCGCAGCATAATGTTGATTTTGACGTTCTCGACGCCTCCCACGTAGCGCGAGAGGGCCCACGGAAACTGCGTGTTGGCGTGCCAGGCCTTGCCCATGGAGAGGAAGGCAGCGTGGGTTACGGCTTGTGTGTCGGCCGTGATGCGGTCATGTTCCTTGGCCGAGAGGTGGACATGCTTGGAGCGGAGAACGGAGAGGACCGTCTCGACCTTGGCGACCGATTCGGCGGAGGCGCGATGGGGGATGATGACGAGCGGCTGGTTGAGGGGGTCGACACCGGGGCCGTGCAAGGAGTGGCACGACACAATATCCACATCGGCTGGCAGGTGCCGCTCGAAGGCTTGGATCTCTGGGTCCTTACAGGAGGTCTGGCCGCCAACAATAGCACCCAGCTTCGTGGCTGCACGTAATGTTAGAACTCGCAGGAGAGATTACCAGGACCTAAGACAGCGAAAGGGTAGCGTACAAGGCGCATACTGAGCGATTACACGATCAATGGTTGCGGCTTCCACACTGTATATGATGTAATCACTGGCGCGGGAGACGAAGTGACCATTGCGGCAGATTTGTATATTCTTCTATGAAGCATCTCAGCAACTGAATGGCTGGGGCTGGGACCGAGGGAAAGCAAACGGAGCACCGTACTTTTCCAGCAAACTCGTCCCTCAACGCCTCGTACTTGTCGTCTCTATCACAAGCCAGTATGCTATCCCCCGCTGTCAGTCATGATCCGATGATGGGTAGCAGAAGCGGTGCGCGCGCCTTCAGCGGAGCGAAGCAAAGTTTATGAATCTGCGTTCCCATTAGCGACTCGTCTTCTTCTGAGCGGTTTGCAGAGAAAAGTCTTGGAAGGTGTGATGTTTCAGACAAATGTTTGTTAAGGTAGCTAGGTGTATCATCATGGAAAGCCTAGGTGTGCCTGGGGCCAGAATGGCTGATCCAGGCGCCCCTTGGGCGATACTCTAGCCAAATGCGCTCTTGTCATCATCAACAGAGGGGGGGAAGGGGCATGGGATGGTGGTGTTCGTGTGTAGGAAGCAGAAGAAAAAGACGAAATACGTACCAATTCGCGTGCGGCGCAGAAGACCTCTTGCAAGGCTGGAGAAAAACTCACTTCCAGCCAGCAGCAGAAAGTCTCTGCGCGTACATCTTCCCCATGTCGCCCATGCCAATCAGGCCGACGACGAAGTTCTCCATCCCGGCGGGACGAGACTGGGCGCTGGATGCAGCAGCGGAAGCGGTGGACGCCATGTTGGAGGGCGATTTCTTGTTTGAGGGGGACGAATGAATTTCTGATCAGGACCGGGAGGAGTCTGCATAGAGGCAAGATCTCACATCCTGAAGAGAAAGCAGACGGCAGAAGCTGGTCCTTCTCCACCTGCCGGCGCGTCGTGGTGAGTCACAACGAAGCGGTTCGAGTGGTTATTGCAGAAGGCGCTGGAGCTGGTTTGCGAAAGAGGAAAATTCTCCCAAGAGCTGTCGTTCGTCGCGACTTTTGTGGTTGGCAGTTGTGTGGGGCAGCGGGGGCAGCCAGGGTGGGCCGGGATTGGCAGAACCTTCAGCCGTGAACTTGTTTGATGCATAATTATGCTGCTCCTGACCTTTTGCTGATATCCACCTACCAGATGTCGAACCCCGTCTACCAGCATGACGAAACCTCCCCCACCACGTGGTACTGGCAGTGGCATGATGGAAAGCCCGTTCTGCTTACCTAGGTACCAAAAGAAAAACAACCAGTATCCAAGGAATAATGTCAGTCCTCTTCGCCATCGGCTCTAACGGCTCTGGGCAGCTCGGCCTTGCCCACAAGGAAGATGTCTCGGTACCCAAGCAGGTCTTGTTCCATCCCGATCAGCCTTCGTCTCCCATCACCCGCATCGCTGCTGGCGGAAATCACACTCTGCTCCTCACAGGAGACGGTCATCTTTATTGGAGCGGGGATCCCACGCCAGGCGCTTGCGGTCTCACAGCCGAGGCTACAGCCACAGAACCCGTCTTTCAGCCAGTGCGTCTCAGCAAAGATGACCCTTTGACGGGCATGAGGGACGTGGCTCTCGTGACAGCAACCTGGGAAGCCTCATTCATCGCCAGGAGAGATGCAGAGGGTAAGGTGACGCAGTTCTGGAGTTTTGGGTCCGGCGCAAAGGGAGAGCTAGGGCAAGGAGAACTGCTGGTTCGATCACCATCAGGGACATTATTCAAGGAGTTTCCGCCCGCGGGAACCGAGATTGTAGATCTCGCGGCTTGCATGGGTCACGTCGTAGCTGTTCTGAGCAATGGCGATGCTTATGGCTGGGGTAACGGACGGAAAGGTCAAACGGGAAACCCCGAAGGCGTGCTTCACCAGCCAAGAAAGATTGAAGGTCTCGATTTCAAGGTCACCCGGGCCGTCTGTGGGCGAGAGTTCACTTGTCTCTTTGGAGACAACGAGATAGGACGGCTTGCGGTACTAGGCTCCGACAAGTGGAACATTCGATCATCGGCCCCGTCATCCGTCCCCGAGTGGAAGGATGTTGGAGCGAGCTGGGGTGACATCTACGTGTTGAAGCGAGACGGAACACTTTTGTGCTGGGGTCGGGATGACCACGGTCAGCTGGCTCCGCCCAACCTTCCCAAACTGGCCAGAGTAGCCATTGGAAGCGAACACGTTGTCGCCATGTCTGAGGAGGGTGACGTCCTAGCCTGGGGATGGGGTGAGCACGGCAATTGCGGACCACAAGTTGAGAACAACGACGTCAAGGGACGGTGGAATGTTATTGCATCGTCACGATTCATCCCCCCCGGGTCTCAAATCACAGGCATCGGCGCTGGGTGCGCTACAAGCTGGGTTGACATTACCACAGGATGAGCCCAATTGGGGCACGATCAAAATTGAACAATCATGGCATAACGTCATGTGCTTCTCGTTCAGCTCCCTCTGTAAAACAACCCCAGCCTCTCCACGTCGGACAACCTCTGCGTTGGCTCAAAGCCGTAGCTACTGGCTGGAGTCGGGTTCACATCGTTGCTATTCTCGGCGGCAGGTTGGTTGATGTGCGGACCAGTGTCCTCCTGTGATCATGTCAGCAATGGGAAGTGACGGAGTGATGCGGCAACTTACAGGCTGGGCACTATGATCCCACTCCAACCTCGCATTCTCCTCTTCTTCCTCGTCGTCATTGACAGGCTCCCACCGATCGTCCTCGACAAAGAGCCCTTCAGAGCGTATAGTAGACGTCGGAGGAGGTCGCTGCGAAGGCCTCAGGTCAAATGCCGACGTTCTCGCCGCAGTAGCCCTGCCGGATGGCATTGAGGGTTGGGGCGGAGGTGGCATCCCGCTGCTGACCTTGGGCGGCGCCTGGTCCTCTACGTCGGGCTGCCTCTCAGACGCCTGCGACGGCGCAGCGCTTGCCCTCCTCGACGTGGGCTCCAGCTGCTGCCGTTGCCTGGCTCCGTTGACCGCCTTGCTGCCCTTGCGCGTCTTCTGCGCCGGGTTGCCGCCGCGCTCGCCCACCGTCATGAGAAGAAACTCGCAGGCGATGCCGTCGCCCGGGTACGTCACCTGGATGGGTCGGGCGGGGGTCGAGTAGCGGGCGGATAGGTTGGTGCCAGCGATGCCGGCGTGCTGAATGATGACGCGAAGTCGCGTACGTTTCATGACGATTCGGAGCTTTGTCCTCGACTTCAATGTCCTCGAAACTCGTCCGATCTCAATGGCAATGGACGTGTGAAGCGGTTTTTCAGGACTTCTGC